CATCAGTGCGCTTGCAAAAAGCGTGGGATGAGTCCTTCCTGAATCTTCTTTTGCGAAGAAAAGCCAAAGAGTGAGAGTACACATCAACATCCGAAAGCCCCTCATCAGTGTCTCAGATTACTTAAGAGTACCACACTGATCCTTTTATAAACTTCTAGTAGTTCTCCAGACAACCAATGTCCAATAGTTTCCCAGACACAGCATTGACCTTTATGTCTAACAGTTGGGACACAACACAAGAGTAATATCACCCCTTTTCTCACACTGATCCATCTACACTTAAGGCTATAGTCACCAGTCTGATTCACCTACCCACTGGCTTCCATGCATGTACCTCTAGCTGGATGAGGAATTTATATGGGTAAATGGATGCTGAATTCCCAGCCTGATGCAGCATGAACAGTTGCCTGTATTTTCCCAGCCAAATCATGGCAGTATCCTGGATAAACTGCAATCTATTCAGGAGAGAGGATGAAAGACTTTGCTCTCACTCCCAAACAAATGCCAGCATTTTGGCCAGGACTGCATGTGTACCTGCATACAGTTGGGATGTTATCACGCGTGGGCCAGAAAGCGATAATAAAGTGGAAATGAGGCATTCCGAAAATAAACCGAAAATAAACCTTGATTCCACAAATAGCTTTCACACATAATTACCTTAATTGCGAAATTACAGTAAGCTCATGCTAACCGCATTTAACGTTCACACACAAGTGAGAAAAGCCCGTAAATGTACTAGAAATGATCTTCTTGCACATGCGCAGATAGAGGAATGCTCGCTGGAACCATGGGAAAAAGCAGGGAAATGCTCCCAAATGCGCATTTGCTTTTCACATTATGGCAAATGCTAAATTACTATAATTTCGCAAATGCATTTCCTTAAAACTACCGAATTTCAAAAGATCTCGGATAACACCAGTTTCTGTCCAGTTTCTGTGCGACGTCGTGTGAAATCGTGAGGCACAAATCCAATTTTTGTTTGGGATTTGTGTGGATTAACCAGCAGATTTCCCTCGTGTGATAACGTCATTAGAATGGGGACTGCATCTTTCTTCCTTTGGCAAATGTCTTTTTCTTGCCATGTTGTACTCAAAGTAACCTCTATAAAGAGAAGGCAGCTCAGCATACTCAAGGGGCCACATTTTAAAATGAATGTGAAAGCCTTGTGATCATAATAGCTTACACGTGGGCTTCAAAATGCACACAGAATGGTCATCTTCAGATCCATTTTCTGACTTCTGCTCTTGCTTGTGCATTGGTTCCCATAATCTTCATAGGTTTTTTTTTACCTATTCAGAGGTCAGAAAAGTAAAGTTTTAGACGACATCTCCCTGAATCCCATGGTCACGTTGGCTAGGAAATTCTGGGTGTTATAGTGACAAATAGTAACTTTTAAAAGTTCATTATCTGCCCCACATCTCTGATTCCATTCCTCAAATCCTCTGGTGCTGACCTTTACGTTTGCCTCATTTTCCAGAGTCATTTCTTAAGGTTGGCTAAAACTTACAATGGGTGCCATATGAAAATGTCAAAATTCTAAAATTGTTTAAGGTCAGTAAAACCTACTGAATGAATCTCACTGGGAAGTTTTTTTAAGTTGGCTCCTCATATGATTTTGAAAGCCTCTTTCTAATGGATATGAGAGAGTGTGTTACACATGGATGATGTATACTGCTATAATCTGGTTGGGTGCATTCACACTACACAGTTTTAGGATCTTGATACCACTTTAACTGCCATGGTTGCATGCTATGGTATCTTGGGATTTGCAGTTTCATAAATTCTCTACCAGAGAGCATTCATGTTGTACTACAGGGGAGTCAGAATTTTAAATTTACTTCACAAAGCTACAAATCCCAGGATTCCTTGACATGGATACATGACAATTAAAGTGTGGCAATATTCTTTAAGAAATAATAATCAGTCCATAGAATCATAGAATCATAGTTGTAAGAGACCTCAAGGGCCATCCAGTCCAACCTCCTTGCCATGCAGGAGTTCATAATCAAAGCACCCCAACCTCTGTTTAAAGACCTCCAAAGAAGGACACTCCACCACACTCTGAGGGAGTGTGTTCCATTGTCAAATCACTCTTAATGTCAAAAAGTTCCTCCTAATGTTTAGGCAGAATCTCTTTTCCTGTAGTTTGAATCCATTGCTCTGGGTCCTATTCTTTGGAGCAGGAAAAAACAAGCTTGCTCCAGCCTCAATATGAAATTCCGTCAAATATTTAAATGGGCAATTTAACAGAATAAAATTTTGAGATGATTAAAAAAATGTAGAAATTATCCCTCTCCCTAGGTTTCAGCTGCCACTGCTCTGGCCACCAAGGAGAAAAGAGCAGCCAGGTACATCTCCATTGTGCTGGGATTTACCTGCTGCTGAATGCAATGTTTTTCTCTCCTTCCTCACCATTCCTTTCCACTTGTGTATTGTGTCTTATTTAAATTGTAAGCCTGAGGACAGGGATTGTCAAATAGCTCTTACAAATAGTTGTTTGGCTAAAGGCTAGGGTAGAAATGTTTTAAATAATAAATTAATGTGCTGGGATTTACCTGCTGCTGAATGTAATTCTCTACCACAGAGCATTCATGTTGTACTTCAGGGGAGTCAGAATTTTAAATACCTTACAAAACTACAAATCTCAGGATTCCTTGACATAATGGCATTAACAGAATGGTCCTCAGTCTCAGAACAGTGAGCAAACCTATATGTACTCTAGCAGCAGACAAAGTACATGGGGAGATATGGTCTCATCAGAGGCCTTAAAGGACAATTTCTAATGGTGGGCTCTACTGCAACATTATTAATGCTGCCTCAATACAAGTATAGTGTCTAGATCAAGGGAAGTAATACTACCATTCTATTCTGCTTTGATCAGACCTCATCTGGAATATTGTGTCCAAATGTGGGCACCACAATTCAATAAGGATGTTGAGAAGCTGGAGTGTGTCCAGAGGAGAGCAACCAAAATGGTGAAAGGTCTGGAAACCATGTCCTATGAGAAGTGATTTAGGGAGCTGGGTATGGAGCTTATCGCATTCTTAAATAAGGGTGATACAGATGGCCCCTAAGGAGTGGCTCTGTGCAGCCCCTGGGAGCACCAAATTGGGGCCGTGGCAACCACATGCCACAGTCCCAATCTTCTTTTATGCCACTCCTTTTTGGGGCAACAAAAAGCTGCCCTCAGAGCCATGGCTGCAGCTCTTTTGTGTGCCTTTGGTGCAGTGTGTGAGCATGCCCTGCCAACTGGGTGCCCTGACGCCACACGCCATACGCCATACAGTGTGACAGCATCATCGAGGAGGCTCCTGCGTGGTCACCCCGCCCCAACTCCACCCCACAGGCTGGCCCCTTTAGGCTGGTCTGCATCAACCCTAACTCTCCTTACCCAATCTGACTCAAAATTAAATTTGGGTGGTGTCTGGACCCTATCACAAGGTTTTTGCCACCAAAATCACTGCCCCAATGCTGCCCGGGGCCATCCCTGCGTCTAGAGCCTCTCAGCACGCTCTTTTAAAAAGCCAGGAGTTTTCCAGCTTGAGAAAATGGCCGCCGGAGCAGCTCCAGGAGCAGGGATGGCCCCAGGACAGCCCTGGGCGGTGATTTTGGTGGCAAAACCCTTGTGATAAGGTTTGGATGCCACCTGCCTTTATTTTTAAGCTGGGTCGGGTAAGACGAGTTATTTAAGAATGCAATAAGCTTGTATGTTTAGCCTGGAGAAAAGAAGGTTAAGAGGTGATGTGATAGCCCTGTTTAAATATGTGAAGGGATGTAATAGTGAAGATGAAGCAAGTTTGTTTTATGGTGCTCCAGAGACTATGACCCAGAGCAATGAATTCAAATTACAGGAAAAGAGATCCCACCTCAACATTAGGAAGAACTTCCTGACAGTTAGAGCTGTTGGACAGTGGAACACATTCCCTCGGAGTGTGATGGAGTCTCCTTCTTTGAAGTTTTTAAACAGAGGCTGGGTGGCCATCTGTTGGTGTGTGTGTGCTTTGATTCTGTCTTGCTGCATGGCAATATGGGTTGGTCTGGATGGCCCTTGTGGTGTCTTCCAACTCTATGATTCTATGAGGACAAGGCATAGGAAGGACAAAATCAAATGCAACAGCAGGGGTGTCTGATGGATTCTCATAGTATTGGCCAGGCCTGGATGATGGTGATTGCATGCTATGGGGTGAAGAACCAGTAGGAGTGTTGGCCAAAATGGGAAGGAAATGGGATCCTTTGCTTGGCCGACAGTGATCCTACATTCCATGGATCCCTCTTTTCCTTGCCTGCTTCCTTCCTGCCCCTAGTGAACACTACTCTATAGGTCAGGGGTAGGCAACCTGTCTCCTTTAAGGGCCAAGGGACTTCAGCTCCCAGAATCCCAGGAGCTATTGGCCAACATGGGACTATTGGCCAACATGGCTGAGGCTTCTGGGAGCTGAAGTCCCTCGGCCCTTAAAGGGGAAATGTTGCCTACCCCTGCTATAGGTTATCTGTTGATTTACCTCAAACCTACTTTCTCCATATGTCTTTTCTTCTTTTTTGCAGGTTAGGAGACTTAAAAACAGTTTGCTGAGGAAAGAACGGATGGTGGAACCATGAAGCTGAAGACAGGTGCAATTTGATTTTCCATTTTAGGAAAGGCATGAAACCATTAGTGAATGTTTACATTAGTGCTTCATGTGGCACTAATTTTAAAAGGCAGACAACCTGCCTAATATATGGGGAGGGACAGGGTAGATAATTTTGTCTAATACACTGTGAAGGTAGGGGGGAAGGATGCGTATCTGGTTTACTCTATGGACCCTCATGCTCAATTAATTGTTGTTGCTGTGTGCCTTCAAGTCATTTTCAACTTTTGGTGACTCCATGGTGAACCTATCATGGGGTTTTCTTGGCACATTTCTTCAGAGAGGGTTTGCCATTGCTATCCTCTGAGGCTGAGAGAGCATGACATGCCCAAGGTCACTCATTGGGTTTCCATGGCTGAGCCAGGAGTTGAACCCTGGTCTCCAGAGTCATAGTCTACAGTGCACAAACCACTACACCACACTGGTTACCACTAACATTGGCCTCCCTCAATTAATACCCACCTTAAAATTATGTTTGTACATAACCCATATCATTTTTACCATACTTGCTTATTGAAGCTAATGCAGTTCCACATTAGTTAAAGAACTTTGACCAAGCAGGTCAAACCATATTTAGCAATGAATGTTTTTCTAAAAAGAGGCAAATTTGTTAAAACAAATATAAGTACTGGTCTCATGAAATTGGACTGTTCACACAAATCAGAGGCATTCTAGATAATTTAAAAACATTTTCAGCTGGAGATATCATGAATTTTAAGTAGTGAATGCACTCAAGAAATGGATTCTCTAATTGGGAAGGAGGCCAGACGAAGATAATATTCTTTCAGACTTTGAAACTTGACTTGGCTTTATAAAGTATGCCTTTAAACTGCAAATAGCAGTTAGATACCATAATAAATATAAATCAGTTTCCTATTCTTTCAGAATATATATTGAGGAGGCAAGAATGGTGTGAGACTTTGTTTCTAACCTGTCTAGCTAGCTGAAGGACAGAAGAGCACCACACCTCCTGGGGTTCTTTCAGATTTTATATTGTACAATTGCTCTGTCTTATTCATAAACTTTATAAGGATCTAGTCATAATTGTTGCCTTCCTTGTCTAATTTACCTGTGTTTTCCAAGTCCTTTGGCTTAGGGAGTCAGATGTTTTTGTATGGAAAAGTGAAGACTGACATAGGGGAAATGCAGACTGGCACAAAGGGCCAGCCTAGGAGTGGAGTTGGGGTGGGGCGGCCGGCCATCCCAACTTCACCCTGATGCTGTCCTGACATGTCCTATGAGAAGTGACTTAGGGAACACACGCTGCACCAAAAGGGCACAAAAAAGCTGTGGGGGCGGCTATTGTGTGTGGCAAAAAGGAGGATTGGGACTGCAGCATATGGTTGCTGCGGCCCCGATCCACTGCTCCAAGGAGTGGCTGAGAGCTGCCCCAAATGGGCCATCTGTATCAGTCCATACTTGTCATACTAGTCAATTGTTTTGGGGCATTCCCTTTGGAAAACCGTTTCTCTTGTATTTGGAAAAGTAGTGGGCTGACAATGCACTCTTCTGCACCATTCTGCATTTGCACTTCAGTGGGATTAGTTCCAGTGTTTGCTTTCTTACATATGAAATATGACAAAACCATTTATACCACACTGTTTGCTTCACTTCCTGCTCCGTGATTGGTAGTTCTCCCTCAACCCACACTATTTCCAATAGCATTTTTCTATGCTTTTTCTTGCAAACTAACACTTGTCTGATTCTGCTTTTGCATATTGCTCTTTAAACTTTGTATACTTACTCTTTAAACTTTTCTTCAACCCTGTGCTTTCTCTGGACATAAATCCTTAGTTTGATTATACTGGAATATATTAAGAGCAGTGCATGGGTTTACTGATTTGGGGAAAAAACACTCCTCCAGGCACTCTCTACACAACCTCACAGGCTGAAGGTTTTAAAAATGGACAATTAACCAGAGTGACTCTACATGAGAATGAGACAGAAGGGAAGAAATCAGGTTAAAGACAAGCTGATTTTAGAGCAAAATAATTATTTCTTTATTTAAAAGACAGAAAAAGATAGCAGAAGAAACTAACAGAACACTATATTCAGTGCAAGCTCTTTTTCAGAGGTAAATGGGACAAATGCCAAAAGCCTACTCTTGACCAATCTAAGGGGCTATAGGGGTGCAGCTACATTTAAGGGACTACAGACTAAAACACACACATGGATTTTATTGCCCTCCTACGTCTGTCTCTGTGTCTCGGTATCTCTCTGTGTCGTTCTGTGTTGCTTTGACCCTTTGCCTATATTTAACCTTTTTCCTAGCTTGGGGGCTATAACCTGGAGTGAAGGGGATGCTTCTGGGTGGGCTGAAACATGAGCTCAATGTTGTTCTTAAAGTGTTTGCACCTTGTGTGCAAAATATGAATGTGTCCTCTGGACACTGATAATGACTCTTAGATGGTCTGGAGAGTTGAGAACAATGGAGATGCATACACGAGACAAAGCCAATTAAGTATAGACATTTAACCTCTTTCAAATGCAAATAGGATTGCCTAAAATCCCCGGCAATTGCACAATACCTCACAATAGGGGATGTACCAGTCTGAGCCAGTTTGGCAGTTTTCCATTCAGTGGAGCATCATGTGATAAGCTCCTGAATGTTGAAAATGAGGAATAGCTGCATGATATTTTTTAACTGGTGGTGTCAGGAGCTGTCTGCCAGGAAGATAGCTTGAGAAAGGGACTTTTTTTTTGTATCATGCTGACTGGAGGGATTTTGGGAGGGAGTGGTAGCCCTCAAAGTCACTTTCTCAAGCTGTGGTTTGGAAACACCAAAGAGACTTAAAGGCACTGGCAAATCAGCAGTGCTGGTTACATCAGCTACAAAGCAGCACTGTATTCACTCACATTCTTCACAGTCTTCCTCCTTCTCTCCATTTCCAGTTTTACCGTCAGTGAAATTTCATCATATGGAGAGATCAATCAGAGTACTTTTAAGGGCTGCACAGTGAAACATAAGACTGTAGAGGAGAGTGAGCCATACTTGTAGTACTATCCAGCCATGAGCAAGGCTGCCCAAGTTTGTGACATGAAGCTGCAGATAGGTAGTGCCTGAATCTAGCTGCCTGCAAATCCACTAATATTATTTATTCATGGCAGTCAGTGCTTGAAGCCTCTGGCAATATTTGTCTATGCAAAGCTGAAATATGAAGTGTAGATTCCAGAGGGCTGCTGTCTAACACAGGCAGATTGGCTGTATAAAAGACATTTCTTTCACTTAGGGTCTTGACAGAATACAATGACAGAAGGAAAATGTTCACTAGTCATTTTGACGAAGAAAGTGACTTCTACCATACCTTCTGGGATCACAGCCACTTCTAAAAAGCATCATGGTGAATCTCTGTGCACTCTCCACAACGAGTTTTGGGAGTACCTTTATGACAAGGCTTTAACTGATGAACGGCAAAATGAAAACTCCCTAACCCTCCTGCTACGTGTAATCTGAACAAGCATTTTGTTCTGTTCATATGTCTGAGCAGCTTGATTCCAAAGCTAAAAATTAAGGACACACTTAAGGTTTGAAGCATAAATCCATAAAGCCTTCTGCAGTCTCCAAGTTATGACCCTACAGGGTGTTGTTATAGCAATACCATGGCAGTAAAAGACTAGATTTTTTGTTCCCTCATATTCAGCAGAAACAACCATTTTTTGCAACCTAGACAGAAATACATTAAATATATTTCTTAGCTGTCTTTCAGAACCATAGTCTTCAAACCAGGAAGACGCCACAAGGGCTATCCAGTACAACCTCCTGCCATTCAGGAACTTACAACCAAATTATCTCTGACAGATGGCCATCCAGCCTGTGTTTAAAAACCTCCAAAGAAGGAGACTCCACCACTCTCTGAGGGAGCATGTTCCACTGTCAAACAGCTCTGTCAGGAAGTTCATCCTAATGTTGAGGCGGGATCTCTTTTCCTGTAGTTTGAATCCATTGCTCTGGGTCCTATTCTCTGGAGCAGCAGAAAACAAGCTTGCTCCATCCTCAATATGACACCCCTTCATATACTTATACAGGGCTATCATATCACTTCTTAAATGTCTCTTTTCCAGGCTGAACATACCCAGCTCTCTAAGTCTCTTCTCATAAGTCATGGTTTCCAGACCCTTTGCCATTTTGGTCACCCTCCTCTGGACACACTCCAGCTTGTCCTTCTTGAACTGTGGTGCCCAGAACTGGACACAATATGAGGCCTGACTAAAGCAGAATAGAGTGGCACTATTACTTCCCTTGACACTATATTTCTATTGATGCAACCTAGAATTGCATTGACCTTTTTAGCTGCTGCATCACACTGTTGATTCATGTTCAACTTGTGGTTTACTAGGACTCCTAGATTCCTTTCACATGTAGTCATGTTAAGCCAGGTGTCCTCCATCCTATATCTATGCATTTTATTTTTTCTGCCTAAGTGCAGTACCTTATGTTTCTCTGTGTTGAAATTCATTTTGTTAATTTTGGCCTAGCTTTCTAATCTGTTCAGGTCATTTTGAATTTTGATCTCTCCTCTGAGGTATTAACTACTCCTCCCAGTTTAGTGTCATCTGCAAATTTGATAAGCATGCCTTCTATTGTTTCACCCAAGTCATTGATAAGTCATTGACTTGTGTAGTCCAAAGCAAGGTCTCTACAAGTCTAAAAAACTTAAATGTACTCACCATGCCCCATGCATGGTGACATTTCCAATAGACATTCTGCCTAGGCTTGGGGTGCTATTGACTAATTAGGGGGAAAATGTTGTTGTTGTTGTTATGTGCCTTTAAGTCATTTCTGACTTATGGAGACCCTAAAGCAAACCTTGGGGTTTTCTTGGTAGAATTTGTTCAGAAGAGATTTTTCCCTCCCCTCCTCTGAGGCTGAGAGGGTGTGAATTGCCTAAGATTAGCCATTGGGTTTCCATGGCTGAGCAGGGATTCAAACCTTGTCCTTCCAGTTTCCTAGGTCAACACTCAAAGCACTGCAGTACATAAATTGGGATTATAGTAAACGGTAACAGGTTTGTTTGGCCTTTCAGTGTCTGGTGAGGGAACAAAGTAGCCCACGAACTAGGGGTGCCAGATCTCAGGTTGTAGCCCAGAGTATCAGGGCCTGGACATTCTTCTCCAGGCCAAAGAACAAGAGGGAGAAACCACAGGGCAAAAACACTAACCTGTTACATATGTGTGTGCATTCTCTTTTGTTAGACTTTTCTTTTGTTTTGAATGACAAACTCTGAGTAACCATGGTTGATGGTTGAGTCAGACAATAGTTTTTAAAAGACTATTGAAAGTGCTTTGGCAAAGATATTGCTTCTCATTATGTACTTTTTTTGTTCCATTGTTGTTTATGATCAAAGAAGTATTGCAAGTTTTTGAAACAATGAGAAATCAGTATATTAAAGGATTTATAGACCTGTCCTTTTCTGGTTTGGAGCAGG